GCAGTGCTGATCTAAGTCTGCCCTTTTGGTCCGCAATCCTCTTACTCCAGATCCTATCAGAGTCTTTCTTGTGCTCCGTAGGATCCGTCTCTTATCGTCCTTGTTACAGTGATTTCATTCGATCTGTTCTATTCGAGGCCTTATGTTCTACACTTTGCCCCAAGCCATTGATAGCACGTATACGCCAGCCTCACTGAGCAAGCCCCTAAATTCTGGATTCCCAATCGGCATGGCCGCCTAACTTGACACTGTAGATTCCCTTCTCACTGAGCCACATTTGCACAGAGCAAATCTTGTGGTCAAGCCTTTACTTCATGGAATATGTCCATGATCGAACTTATCTACTAACATCCAATTATCAATTGTCTCCGTCGCATTTCCTGATATTCCAGCCCTAAGGTCAAGTCTATGATTTTCATATGCTCTAGTCTCTTGTGTGCCGATCCCCAAATGGGATAGTTCATGTTGATCTGAGTGGACTCACCAGTTGACTTATATATTGGTGAAATATTATGTAATATTAAAATTGGTTGACCTCGTTGTCGCAACTTGGTCCTGTTGTCAGGGCGACTTAGTAGAACATGACAGAGTAGTTGTCATGATTCCCAGCATCAGACAGTGGACTTGGTACATTCTCAAACGTTTCGCCGTCCACTGTCTGATGCTGGGAATCATGACAACTAATATAGCAGACGACTTCGGATTAGGTGCGTTCTACTAAGTCACCCTGACAACAGTACCAAGTTGCGACAACGAGGTCAACTCATTTCTATAAATCGAAAGGAGACTGCGACTATACCAGAAGCCACAACATCTTCGTCTTTATATCTTCAATTATGTAATATTGCCTAAAACTCATTAATTGAATAAAAATGTCTGTTGTTTTTTTAGAAATTATCAAATAAACAAGTTATTGATAGTAGACCCAAACTTTTGGACCCTACTGTATGTATATTTATAAATATCAATTAGACAGTCCGACTCTGGGACTTAGTATAACCAGAGAAGCCGAAGACTCTGGACGAGGTGCATTTCTTTTGGTCACCCTGATAGCACAACCAAGTTTTGTAAAGTAAGTCAGCGGAAGGTACTTATTCTTCATGTCTCATATAGTTTATTGTTTGTATTGGTCTCGAAACCTGTTCATAAAGTCAGCAACGAAAAAAAGTGAATTGGCAAAAGCCTAGCCGCTCTAGAAAGTTGCTTCTGCCGTTTGAAACACTGGTATCCGTGGCTGAGTGGTAGGGTGATGAGGTTACCATTTGATGCGGGCGACCCGGGAGCTGGGACGAGGAGGAAACTGTAGTTCAGTCCAGATGAAGAAGCCTTTTACAAGACAACGCGAAGGCAATTACACTGGCGTTGGGGGGTCAACTAATTTTTTTGTCTTACAATTCACCTGAAAGGTCATCATTGGTCATGAAAGGTAAGGAGAAGAACTGAACATTAGCTTTTGTAGAAGTGGGTTGACCTCGTTGTCGCAACTTGGTCTTGTCGTCAGTGCGACTTTGTAGACCATACCAGAATCCACACCATCTTGGTCTTCACATTTTCAATTAGCTTTTGTAGATTGGCTTTACGCAATCTTCCATTACACCTCATTCAAGCAGGTCCCATTTCGTGCAGGCCTGCACACCTACATTTGAGGCTGTCCCTTCGACGACAAGCCAACAATGTAACATACTCACAGCACTCAAATGAAACACATGTCTCCGCCTTCTCTTTACTCAGGGCCAAGTTGCCAAGGCGAAGGAAACCATGCTAACGGCAAACTAATGGGCTATGAACTGCTGAGTAGATATACTCAGGCAAATCGATATGCGCGAAAGCAGGTTTGTCTTGAACCCTTGACGGCAGACCATTTGCTCCTCTACACGAGGGAAACGGCTCTTGTGTTTTTGGGCTGGTGTACAACCGCTTAAACGAGGCCATTAGATGGTCGTCAGGCCTCGTAACACAGGCAGGAAGCAACCGACAAGTCGTAATTTCTTGCTCATCTTCCACTTTCATCGTCTAGCCTCCTCAGGTTGGGACAGACTCCGGTAGAGCGCCCAGAACGGGGAGACCACGAATTCACTTCCACTCCGGAGTGGTACAGACTCTGTTCTGGCCCGATCCGGGGTTATCGCTCCTAGTTTTTCCGGTCATTTTTGTTGCCTCTCGCCTACCGGTTTTATCTGTCATCTCCTGTTTTTATGTCTGCTAGGACGACTTTCATTTGCGCTTGGACAACTACCGAAGAGGACACAGCCAGTGGTGGTGTTTTGCTTGTGAGGTGAATTGGAGTCGGTCCGAGGTGGGCTACAGGCTGGTGGCACATCGCGAATATCAACACGACTCGTGGGCCGAAGGAGACTTGGTCTTCTCCGGCAGAAGACGCCACCGATGCCCACGGGAGCACAAGGACGCCGAGAGTCTAAACGTTCTGCAAAGCTTACTTTTGGTAGAAGTGGTTATCACGACTATCGATCAATCTCTAAACAAGTAACCTATTCTCTTTAGGTTGTTTAGGGTGAAGTAAGGATTGATAGATTCTATTTTCCTACAATGAGATGACTAGTCTTTAGGATGACCGTGAAGTTCCCTCCGCTCTGCCTCCCCAAGGGTTACTTCATCTCGACTTGACTGTAATTTCTACCTCTCCCGGTCGTGAATAAGCTTATGTTCAAGAATTAATGATAGTCTTGGACCCTACTTACATCGTAAATCGGTAACTCCCTCGAGTACAATGGCAAATGCACTGAGCATGTGATTTAGAAGAGGCATGGCTTGCTTTGAATGTCGTATCTGCCCTGTGACCCGCTAAAACGCGTGGCTGTGCAGTGGATCTACTTATAACGCAAATAAGCAACGTTGTTGATTTTAACTTTAAAAACAACTTTGCTTTATTGACAATCCCACTGCAAACGTGTGATATGAGAAAGGGATGGCCTTCTTTGAAGTTCACGTCTGCCCCGCGATTCAACGGTAATGGTGGCAGTGTGACGTGGCGGGTAGTGTGCCGAGATTACACACTGCGCTATCACTGTCCGGGTTCGAGTCCCGCTAGGGGTGCTTAGGAGACCTGGGCGAGACCGAGGCTGCAGTCCACACTGGATTAGGCTACTTATTGAGAAGAAAAACTATGCAAAATTAAATGAAAACGTCAGGCCTGTTTGCATTATATCATCCACTAGTCTTTCATTTCTTATAATACAAAATAGGGTAAACACTTTAAGCCATAGCAGCAAGCTTCGGAAACAAACGCAAACATGAAAGCTCATTGGCACTCAGAAGCAGACACACGCACATGCTTCTAGACTGACATAAGACTTGAACAAACGAAATCACCTCGGAATCATCAAAATGCATAGATTAATGTATATATATATATATATACATATATATATATAAATGAGATGTGTTCACCCTATTTTGTGTATTATGAGAAAGACTGGTAGTTGCATTTTCCCACAATCAAATGATCTTACGTTTGCAAAGAAGTTCACATAGCCTTGCTTCCCAAAAGGTACGCTGATCCAGGGATGACTGCAGTTACGACATCGCCTAAGCTGCAGCACACTTCCAGCATCTCGAAAAGCTAATTAAAAATGAAAAAAAATATACATATTTTTGCGTAGTATTTCATTTCGTATGGAAGTACATGCTGAAGGGATTCGTAGGTAAATCTTACCAGAAGATCACGGCTGATTCAGGTCGTACTGCAGCCGTTTGGGATTAATATGACGTTCTGGTTGATGCAGTCCACGAGACATCCTCCAACGTTTCGGGCGAAGAAGGGCTGAGCTTTCGTCCATCATATGCTTGACATTCTCAGAGCTACAAGTCGTTCTTGCAAATATGCAAAGAAAAGTTGGGTTTCAAAATTCTCTCGTTTCATAAGTGTTGTGTTTACTTCTATTTCAAGTAAAAGTGTTTGGTGAAGAGATTCGAAGGCAGATTCTACCAAAAACTACGGCGGATTCCTCTTGACTAGCTGTAAATCGGCTTTACTGGAACATTCATTATGATGCAGTTTCCGAGGTAATCTCCTTCGATTCCGGTGAAAATGGGCTAAGTTTTCGTCTTCATGTGACGAAAATCATAAGAGTAAGGTATCATCGTCACAACCGAATTCAAGTTAACAAGTCAAGAAAACTCACCGACAAATCCCTAAAAAGCTATATATATACTCTACATCTGGAGATTACCTCGGAAACAACGTCAGCATAGATGTTCCAGTAAAGACAATCA